CAGGCAGATCTCTGTGACTTCAAGGCCAGCCTGCTCTACAAGGCAAATCCAGGACAGTCAAGGCTACACAGAGAAACCCGGTCTCACAAAACAAAAACAAACAAACAAAACAACAACAATAAAAGAAATTACTCTGAGCTATCTTGCTGGCTCTGGAAAGTATTTTTAAACAAATGAAAGTTTCCCCTAATAGCCTTCAAAATAAAGCTGTGGGGCATGGGGCTAGACAGAATGAGTGCACAGGAGTAGAGAAACTAGTAATACAAATTTGTATCATCTGAGGCAATGAACATGAGACAAGGAAAAAGAGGACTCCGGGCAGACTAGTTCATATGAAACACCAGCTTTCTTATCACTGGTTAAAGCTCTCTCTCTAAAGATCAGTGTTTGGAAGACAACAAAAAAATGATAGTCACTACTGGAGGAAAATTGGACATTCAAGCATCAGTGCTTACTGCCAGTACAATAGGCCAGACAGGACTATTTTCACAGGAGAAAAGAGGGAAAAATAAGTGAATTTGGCAGAGACCTCAGGGCTGGTATGGGGCTTTGGTAGCTTTTGCAGAGCCCCATGGTGAGGCATGTACATCATGTTTTTAAGAATCAATTAAAAGAGATGTAAAAAAAAAAAAAAAAAAAGGCAAAGGGGTTTGTTTGGATCACTTAAAAAAACAACTATCTGGGCTTGGTAACATGTCTGTCAGTACATAGGAAGGTGTGGGACAGGAGTTCAAGGCTTAAGAACAGGCTGTGAGTTAGTTCGAAGGGTAAAAGAACTTGTCACCAACACTGATGATCTTAGTCATTTCCTAGGTCCAGTGTGGTGTAAGAAAACCAACTCCTTAATTCTTATTTCTGTATATGCAGGTTGTAAGCCCTCCCAACACAATACACAAAATCAATAAAAATGGGAGTCGGTGGTTTAAGAGCACTGGTGGCTCTTGTAGTCGGCATAGGCTTGGTTTGGTTCCCAGGACCCACATAGTGGCTCACAATGATCCATAACTTCAGGTCCAGGATATCTAACACCCTTTTCTGACCTCCCTGGCATTAGGCAAGCATGTGGCACACACACATACAACATACCTGCAGGCCAAATGCTCAGATATAAAATAAAATTTAAAAATCCAGCTGTAATAAAAAATTTAGACAGGTCAGGCAGTGGTGGTACACACCTTTAATACCAGTACTTGGGAGGGAGAGGCAGACGGATCTCTCTATAAATTCAAGGCCAGCCTGGTCTTAGGTTCAAGACAATCAAGGTTGCAGAGAAAACCTGTCTCAAAAATTAAAAAAACCCAATAACAAAACAAAACAAACAAACAAAAACCCAGATGACTGTGCAATAGTTTGCCAATGTTTTCCTGAGGAATGGGCAATTACCCTTCCCAGAGCACATTACTCCTCCAGTTAGGTGTGGTCAATGGAGAGGTGGTGGCCACAAGTTCAGAGCCTGTCAGACACTGGAAGCTGGCTTTACTGTCAAGTGTAGCAGGCTAACACATGCATCTGTTGTCCACTTAGCTTTGGCCCCGACCGAACAATGCAATTTAGCCCTACTGAGACCATTCAGGATCCCAGGGTGATGTGGGGTGTGTGTGAGATGTGTTAATAAAAAGGCAGTGGCCTAGGCGTGAGAAGACCAGATGGCTCATGGAAAATGGAAATTTTAGAAGGGTACTGTCCCCTATCTGTGCTACTGTGCTCAACATTACTCTCCTGATGAACTGATCCAAATATTATAATAGATCTTATAATGTTTTCAGAATATCTTCTACTGAAATGAACGTTGGGGAGCTTGCTAAAGTTTCATTGTATGTTAGCCCTTAAATGTCTCAGATTTGAAAAACTGGAAAATCAGTAGAAACTACAATAAAATAATTTCCACAGGTGTACCCAGAATGGCTGGAAAAAGACACTTTCTCAAGCCATAAATCTCATTAAATGAAAATCCTGGTGCCAAGGACAGACTGTATTTCTCAGAGATGTTGCCAGAAAAGCCTCATCTCTTTGAGATCCCTGTAAACCATAGATGCCAACCACACTACTGTCAAACTAGACAGCAAGTCTACTGCTGACACACACTGGTTTTAAGATACGGAGAAATCAGGTTGCACTGAGATGTCTTTTTTCAACATCAGAAGATACAATGTGGGCTGCTGTACAATAATGTTTGCTCATATCCATAGGTTATTGCTGTTGTAAGCCTCAGTTTTTTACTTTAAATATGTATATGTACATGTCTGTGCACATGTATGCAGCTGCCTGTGGAAGCCAAACAGCATCATATTCCCTAGAGCTGGTTTTAAGTTTTCTAGTGTGAACGCAGGGAACTAAACTCAGATCCTCTGCAAGGGTGGTACAAGCTCTGAACTACAAAGCCATCCATGCAGCCCAAGGAACTTTTTGCAGCAGGCAGCAAACACTCAGAGCCAGTCAAGCTACTGAAAATAAGTGACCATTACTGTGGCATTGTGGAAATTCTAAACCATAAATAGTAACAAATGATCAGGAATTACTATCAGTCTTCCTACCCCACAAAACAAAACCTCAGCGAATATCTTCCAAGAGATGAAAAGAGGGTATCAGAACTAAAGGGGCGCAGTGTTCTGCAGGTGTTCCCACCTAACGGAAAGAGTCGCCCCTCAAGATAAAGGAGACTCTTAAGAATGAGGAAGGCCAGAAAGCTGCAAGACTCAAGAAGTTCTTCACTTAGGCTGGACAGTTAGTGAACAACTGCTGAAGAGAAAAACTCTTGGTCAAGGAGTTCCAGGGATACAGCTTTCAAGCTGCTGTCCGTGGTGAGGTAGACTTTGCAGGGATGTGGCTAACTTTGAGTTACTCATGTTCCTGTAAGTAACCCCAACAAATTCATCGGTTCATCACACTAGACTTGAATCGATTCCTTGTTCTGTTGCTGGTGTCCTATTGGGGGTAAACATAATTCATGTCCCCTGCAAGAAGAGTAACACAACGTTTTGGAACACTTGACAGACATCATGTATCTCTTTCTCACTAAAAAAATTGTATTTGTGAGGCACACAAACCTCAAAAGACACATTCAAGAGCCAGGCATGGTATTACATGGGAAGCGGAGAGGTTGAGCCTAGCCTTGTCTTAATAATGAATTCCAGGGCAGAAAGTGCTACATAGTGAGATCCTGTCTCAAAAGTGTGTATGTGCGCATACAAGAATATTCATGGTAGTGTGGCTCTATAACGTTCATGAACTGGAAACAATGAAAAATGTGACCAACAGATAGACAAATCATAATGTAGCCATGTAACATAGCAACAAAACTACAGCTATACACAATAGTTAGTATACGATGGTAAGAGCAAAGAGAAAAAGATAGATGACTACATCTCTATACAGTCAATTTATTTTTTATTTATGTGTGTGCCCACAGAGGACAAAGTTTGAATTCCCTGAAGCTGCAGTTGTGAGCTGCTGGATGTGAGTTCTGGGAAACAAACTTGGTCTTCTGTAAGAGTAGAAAGTGCTCTTAACTCCTGAGTCATTTCTGCAGCCCCTTTGAGTAAGGCGTTCTTGTATTCCATTAAAGATTATTTGTGTGTATTTGTGTGTGTGTATAGTGTTGTGTATGAATGTTTTGCCTGCCTGTATGAATGTGCACCACATGCATGCTTGGTACCTGTAGAGATCAGAAGGCATTGGAAACCCATGGAACTGCCATTACATGTAGGTAAGAGGAATGGAACCCAGGTCTTCTGTAAGAACAAGTGCTCTTAACTGCGCAACATCTCTCCAGGCCTCATATACCCTATTTATTTCTTGGTTGGTTGACTTTCATCTCATAAAACAGTTGCAAGCAAAATTAAGTTACATTGTATGAAGGCAGAACAGTAGTTACTTGTGATAAGAAATGATTAGAGGTTATTAAGGTTTTATAGTTTTGAAAACACTCAATTTGAGTACTAGTTTTCAGGTATTGGCTAGGTGTTAATTTAAACTATATTTGTGACTATATACATGCTGTGGGTGACATTTTAAAACAAAAACTTAAGCAGAGTGTGGTGGTGTACATCTGTAATTCTAGCACACAAGAGGCAAAAGCAGGAGGATGAAGTTCGAGGCTAGTGTGGGCTACATGGTGAGATCGTGTCATTTTAGAAAACAAAACAGTAACAATTATAAAAACAAAGCAAAACAAACAAACAAAAAAAAAAACAGCCAGGTGCAGTGGCGAATGCCTATAATCAACAGCATTCGGGAAGGCAGAGGCAGGTGGATCTCTGTGAGTTTGAGCCCAGCCTAGTCTACCAAGTGAGTCCAGGACAGTCCAGGCTACACAGAGAAACCCTGTCTTGAAAAACAAAACACAAAAATAAAAACAAAAGCTAAAAAGCAGTCAAGTATGGTGGTGTACAGCAGTAATCCCAGTACTTGCACAGCCTGACTCAATAAAACAAAACCAGTCACATATCCCATCCCGTGTACGTTTACAGACCCTAAAATTTTAAAGTATTAATCAGGAATACCAAAATAAAGAATATAAAATATATTTAATCATATAAATGTCAATATATAGAATGGTTATTCCTGTAATCCAATCTTCATCCCTTTGAAACCAATTTGTCTGAATTCAATTGTATCTTTTCTATTTTCTAGCTTTAGGTCCTAAGACACATATTCACCTATTTCCTCAACCATAAAGAAAATGGTACCTACTACTGAGTCATTGTCAGGCCTCAAAAGAAAGGAAAAAAAAAAAATTCCTGGAGCATTGCCTAGCAGTAATCACTCAATAAACACTGTGCTAGCTACTATTTTTTTGTTTGTTTGTTTGACTTCAGGGTCATGGCTGATAGATGAGAAGCTGGGTTTTTTCCCCAAGGGAAACTTCCAAAAGAAGAAGAAATCCTTTCCTTCCCTTGGAGCAATGAGGCCAGATGCAGGCTTAAGTCATCATTTAGCTATCTAGTGCTGCCTTCACCAAAGGCCCAAGGGAAAACAGGAAAAAGAACAATTAGACAGTATTTCACCACCAAAAAAGGTTTTTATTACAAAACAAATTCTAATAAAATCAAGCCTGGTTTTTACCCCTTTCTCTGAATGGAGGCTCCTAGGATGGAGGGGCAGGGGAGACAAAGCAGAGGGTAATGAAAGGACAGAGCAGGCTGACCTCCCTTGAAGTCTCAGGTGCTTTCAATAGCCTAGGTGAGTTCTTCCAATGGCTCCCGAGAAAGGCCACATCCTTCTAGACAGGAAGAACCACGAACCATTCCTGTCACCAGAACTGATCACTGCCGAATTGTTGGACTGGATTCAGGTCTTGACTGACTCTCAGCAAAGGCCACCCAGAGTTACTCAGCCTGAGCAATGGTGTAGGAGAGCAGCCACAGCAGCAGGGGACCCAGAAAAAGGACCGCAAACCAGACAGCAAAACTGGCCAAAATGAATCTCCGGGCCCGGGCCCCCCAATATTTGGCCTCCTCGTGTCGCTCTTCTGCCTGTTGGGGGCAGGTTCTCAGTTAGATTCTCCTCCTGCTTCTGTCCCAAAGTGCCCATTGCCCCATTCCACTTCTTGATCTATCCTAGCACACCTAAACACTTTACATCCTTTTCTTGCCTTTCTTGACTCAACTGCAATACAAAGTATTCACCTCAGTCCTGCCTACTTTTCAGTGATGTTGGTTTGTTTTGTGGTCTCGGGATGGAAGCCAGGGCTATGCACACTAGCTTGTTGAATTATATTTCTACACTGGAAAATACTTTTTAATCCTTCTATTCCTATTCTTTTCTGTCTGTCTTACACTCATTCAGAATTTGGAATTCTTGACTCAAATAAATCACAGCCCGTCAACTCTTTCTCCTGGTCCAGTAGGCACCATCATTCATCATGAAGGATCCTTTCTATGATTTCGTCCCAGTGCAATTCTTATGGTGACAGCAAGTGTTTCTGACTGTCAAGATACATCTAGGGGATGAGAAAAACCCCAGAATGATGTTTAAGTTAGTCTGAATACCCTTTCAGGAGGTATATGTGTATGGTGGCTTTAGTGATATTCCATTTATTATGAGCAGGGCTTTAGTCCTCAATTCCTAGCAATGCCACCCCAGCCACAAGAAAGGGTGCAGATGACTCTCTAACAACTACACTGCTTCTTCCAGATGCTGGATACTGTTCTCATCACTACTTAACTGCCTGCCTGTAGTCTTGGCCCTTGTGATTCAACTCAATGGAGGTTTTAGGAGTAGATCTTTCTGAAACACAAATCTACCCATGTCACTACCCTGAAAAAAAAAAAATAAATTTCTCTCTACTGTTCAAGATAAAGTCAAAATTCCCAAGTACATAATTGGAGGCCCTCAGAGATCTGGATCCTTTGATGTTAATTTTCAATATTCCTCATTTAACCTTTGTATACATTGCTGCCTTTATTTAAATTGTCCTTTCGTAGCACAAGTTATCTTCTTGTCATCTTTTGAATGTTCTGGTAGCCTCTTATTCTAACAGAGTCATCCTCTCTCACACACGTATCTCTTTCCTTGTTTCTAGGGTGCCCTGTGCTCCCCCTGTACCACAGTATTGATGAGCTGCATTCTAATTATCCATTTTTACAATTACCTCTTTCATAAAACATGGGTCCTTTGAAAGTATTCTTATTTTGGCACAAAGCCCAGAGCTAAGGTATTTAGTAACTGTTTAATTAACTGTAGACAGATCAGATAAACAAAACCATTTCATTATACCCACCCGTTCCCCCAGGAATTTTATTCCTCACCTTGATGGCAAACACAAGAGCCACGATTCCCAGGCAAGAACAGCCACAGATAATGCTAGTAACTGCCCAGTATCGGAGGTGGGGCCAGCAGCAGTGGACAGGGGATGGAGAGTGAGCAGCTTCCATGTTGCTCACCAAGCTCTCTGCTGCCTTCTCCTCGTCCTCCATCACCTGTGGGCGATACAGTCAAAGCACTTTTAAGCTCAACAAATGAGCTCTTGCTCTGGCATGGTGACTCCACCCTTCTCAAAGCATGCTGTCTAGTGTCTTAACCCTATACTCTGGAATGCTGTCTTACTGGGAAATTACTGCAGTGACACAGGACAGGTGACTAAATGTGGTTGGAATCCTTTCCATCAGCTAGGATTCTGAATCTGTGGAGGCAAGCATGTGTAAATGTACTCTTTCACAAGCACAGAGGAGCGAACTGACATGCATACCAAGAAACAGAAGAGTCTCAAAACCTTATGACTTAAGATGTTTGTAGTTGTGGTGGCTTTGAGGTAGGGTCTCACTACGTAGCCCTTCCCCAGCTAGCCTGGAACTTACTATACAGACAGAGCTGGCCTCATATCAGAGATTGCCTGCCTCTGGCTCCCTCATGCTTGGTTATTTTTTTTTTTTTTTTGTACTGAAATTTTCTATGTAGTCTTGGCTGTCCTGGAACTATGTAGACCAGGCTAGACTAGAACTTAAAGAGATCCCCCCTGCCTCTGTTTCCTGAGTGCTGGGACTAAAGGCGTGTACCACCACACCTGGCATGAAAGTAGTTCTGGGGATGGAGGAAAGGGAAGCACATACAGTAAGTTCTTTTTTTGCTGTTTTAAAAAACAAAACAAAAATTTAAAACAAACAACAGAAAACACCTAATGCAGGAATGGTGGCAGACATTTAAAATTTCTGGACATGTGGTAGCAGAAAAATCAAGAGGTTGAAGGAAAGCATTGCTAGCTCAGAATTTGAGGAAACATGAAATCCTGTCTCAAAACTCCTGAACATGAGATACCTCACTTCATTTTAATCCAGACCACATAACACAATCAGATTAGAAGAGTTCAAAAGACCTCACTGCCCACAGAGAAACCTGCATAATGACTTTCTATACTCATTCTCAGGCTCTCTGAACTCATCAAAATACGTTTCCACTCTCATGTCCAGTCATTCTTCTACAGCCTCGGCAAAACGAAATCACCTGTGGTTTCCTAAGCGCAAGTAACAAAAAGGCAGAAAGTGGCAACACTGCAATAGTACGTTGAGGTAAGAAATGAAGTGCCAGCAAGTGAGAAGAGCCCAAAAAAGAGGGCCTAGGGAGTTAAGGTCAGAAACTAGAAACGTGAACATAGATTCTTACCTGGCTATAGGCTCTGAGGGACTGGGAGTTTCGGCTTCTGCCTCAGATTTGATTTGGCTTGGGTGGAGATGAAGCTGACTCATGGCTCCAAGCCAAGCCAAGGTAGAGTTGTGGGGCCGGCCACATGTGAAGAGCCCAGGGAGCTGGGACGGGGCATGGCCAACTCAAACCAGTTTGGCTAGATGGATAGCAGAGGAGGGCCAAGGCATGAGCAAATGGAGGATGCCTGCTTTCTGAACAAAGGAGTGTAAGGAAGCACCTGAGCAAGGAGACTGAAAGGGAATTCCAAGGTGTTGGAGAGCTAAGGGAAAGTTCAAGAGTCAGAGAAAAGAATATGTTTGAATGGTCTGAAACAGACTCTATAGAGCCTACAAAGTCAGATTTGACAATCTTCCCCTTTTAGACTGGGAGGGGGTTAAGTTCTGCTTCAAAGGCATACAATCTTGGATTAGAGATCAGGTATGGAGTCATTGCAAGAGGAAGGTGAAAAATGATGTCCAAGTTCCCAACCAACCCTCCACCACACCAGAAAATCAGAAGCCTCCTTACACGGATGCTTGTACAGAAACTAAGTTTATTATGTTTTCTTCTTAAAAAAAAAAAAAAAAAAAAGGAAAAAGAAAAAAAAAGAAAAAAAAAATAAACCAAATCCACCCCACCTCATTGAAAAGCCCCTCCCCCTTTTCCCTAAGGGTTTGAGGCTGTGAAAGACAGCTGGGGGATCAAGTACAAGGGGGTGGGGACAGAGACTATCTTGCCACCCTTAACACTGCCCAGCCATATGGAGTAGGATAGAGAAGGGGGGGTTGTGACGAGCCCCATTTCCATGACAACCAGTTACCTACCCCCTACTTTGGTGGAAAGGGAGACAGACAGCCCCGTACGTCTCCCTGGAGGCTTTTTCCCTCAAAGACTTCAAGTAGTGGTTAACAGAGTCAGGCCTGGGCATGGGGAAGCGGCCATGATGGGATACCTATGTGAAAGGGCTGCCCACTCACGTCTTGGCCTTGCGACCTCTGTGACTAATAGTAGGGATAGATAGGTGGGGAGGAGCACTACTACGCAGGATACGCTGGTCCCCTTGGTTGGTGGTCCCAACGAGCCTGCGGGGACCAGTTCGGCGGCGTGGGGTTCCATCTCCTTCCTCCTCGTCACCTGAGGCTTCTGCCTCTGACTCCTCTACTGAACCCTCAGGCCCCATGGGACTTGGGGGCTGCAAGCGGCCCCGTTTTGCCATCCCAGAACTCCCAACAGGAGCCCCTGACCTTTTGCGAGGCATTTTCTCAGTTTCTAGTGGGGGGACTAGAGACCCTGGACGCAGGCGGGTTGAGCGAAATTTGGGAGTTAATGAGACCACAGGTGGTGTCAGTTCTAACCCACTTGGCCCACTATCTGCTAAATCCAGGTCATCCTGAATTACAGCCATCACCATGGACCCTTCACTCTTTCGTCCCCGCATCCCCTCTGCTTCAAGCCGTAGGCGGGCCAGGCGGGTGAGAGGGCGGCTCCCATCTTCATCAGAGGAGCTGCCTTCACTCTCTGCCTGGCCGAGGGGTTGCCGCTGTACCCCCAATCCACAACTCTCAAGAACAGAAGAGCTGTCAGGGTCCAAGACAGGAAGCTGGCTGGGCCTTGGCGATGGCGGATTCTTGGGAGGTCGACCCCGCTTCCGCTTAGGTGGGGATGTCGAAATGGTAACAGTGGTGACAGTGTTGGCGACAGCAGTGGGACAGGCTAGGAGTGGTGTCAGGGGTGCTGGAAAAGGGAGTGGCTGTGTCCGGCTCTCTAAACTGCCATCCCCTGGAGAGGATATGGTCCCAGGAATGGGCAAATCCCTTGCTTTAGGGGGACGCCCACGCCGTCTTTTCTCCACAGGTGATAGGACGATGGGCTCTGGTCTGTGAGCTGGTTGGGGCCCAACAGGCTGTGGCCCAGGAACAGTCTGGGGCCTGAGGTCAGGCTCTGCAACAGTTACTGTCTCAGGCACAGGGACTGGATCGACTCCATTGGCTTTCCCCTTAGAGATGGATGAAGGTGCCTCATCCACTCCTTTCCCAGCATCTGCTGGAGACCTGTTCTTCTTGGGAGGCCTCCCCCTCCGACGTTTCACAGCAGGTGGAGTGATGGCAAGCAACGCTCCTTCTCCATTCTCTGGACTAACACCACCAGTCATCCTCAGTTCACCGTGACGACAGGCTACGAACGGATGCTGGGTTGGGGTGGACAGCGAAGATGTAGGAGGAGCAGCTTCACAGGGCCCACTGCTAGGTGGTGAGGATTCTGGCCCTGACATACTATGGGTCGATGGGCTTCCTGGACTGGCACCAACGTCAGATACCACAGGTACTAGGGTGCTGGCAGTTCCCCGATGTCGCCGTCGCCTTACAAGTTCCTTTTCCTCTACCACAGTTACTAGCCGTCCTGGCAGCTTGCGAAGTACTTTGGGACCTGGGGGTTGTCCTTCCTGGCCAGACCCTTGACCCCTGATTTCTACATCAGCACTGGTTCGACGCCGTGGGGGACGGGCAGGCGAAGGACCCTCAGGAGAGGAAGTGGCTGAAGATGAGGTTGATGGAGCTGTGACCTCAGCTTTAACAATTTCTTGTGGCTTTTCTGGGTTGGAGATTGGGACTGGAACCTCGCCTGTTTCTTCCAAGTTCCTGTGAGCCTCCAACAGCTCCTGAAGTGGCTCATCGGATGCTGCTGAGGGTGGGAGCTCCATCTCATTGCTCTCACTCACATTCACGGTCAACTCCTTACCACCAGGTAGCAATGTGGGATTGGTCTCCTCCACAGGACCTGGCACCTCCTGCTCCTCACCATTGGGGATGCTGTCAGCCTCCAGGGTTGAACTAGGTGCAGGACTAAAAGGAAGATTCTTCTCTGACTCAGGTGGGATATCAACAGCCACTGGCAAAAGATCGTCTGGAAGCACAGGACTAACCAGGGAAGCCTCAGAATTGACCATTCCAGGCAGCTCTAGAGACTCCATAGGTGCCAACTCTTGTGTACATAACTCTACTTCCCCTGAGTCCACGCGGGGGTTGGTAGCCCCAGGAGAGATGGGACCAGTAAGGGAATTAAGTGGGGCTGGTGAAGAAGAGGTTAGTAGAGAAGTTTGAGCTGATGAGGGGGTACAAGTGGGTAATGGGGTACAGATAGAAGAAGGGGTACAAGTAGGAGAAGAACAAGGAGGAGGGGGCTGAAGCAGAGGGGCAGAAGTAGGTAAGATATGAACTGGAAGAATGGATACCAGATTTGGGGCTGAAATGGGTATGGAAGCTGTGGCTAGGGCAGAAGTTATAGCAGAAGGAGGAGAAGGAGGAGGAACAGGAGGAGGAGGAGAAGGAGGAGGAGGAGCAGAAGCAGGAAGAGCAGGAGGAAGAGGAGGAGGAGGAGGAGGAGGAGGAGTGGGAGGAGCAGTTCGAGGCCTGGGCACTGGCCTGGGAACTCGTTCTCTCACAGGGCTGGATCGGGGAGGCATGAAGGTGTTGCAGGAATGATGGGTAGATGTGACAGGTGTGTGGCTTGCTCCTTGAGTTTCAGCCCGTGCTCCTTGAGTTTCAGCCCGAGCTCCTCGAAGACGCTCACTGACACGAGTTCCCAGCCTCTCAGGAGCCTTGACTTTCTTACTGCGCCGGTGGCTGCCTCCACTAGTTCCACAAGACATCTCATCCCCAACCCCTGGCCCTTCCTCTTCCTCTTGGGGTAGTCGAAACACCTCCTCCTTGGCTTGGTCCAGGTCTTTTCGGGCAGCTTCCACTTGTTCCTACCAACAACACAGCCCAATATTGTCAGCAAGAGGCACAGCAATAGAAACAGGCAGCTACCCACTATCTTATTCCTCTTATGTGACTTACTTCTGCCTGTTTGAGCTCCTCTCGGCTTACTTCTTCCAATGAAGCTTCTAGGAACTTCATGGCATATCTCTCAATGGGAGTTAGCTGTAGGGAAGAAAAAGCTGATATTCAGAAGGACCTAGAAATCAGGGCAGATCACCATTATTTACTATCAACAGGGAAAAAAGCATTTGAGTCCTGGCATAAGCTATGACGGATGAAGAGAAATGGTACTGGATCTAACACTAACCTGTTCTACAAGGGCAGCAATTTCTTGTTCAGCTCTGGACATCTCCTCATCCTCAGCCCCAGGCCCAGTCCGACCAGCCTCCTCTCCCTCACCAGCAGGAAACACATCATTCTCATTAAATTCTGCAAGCTCCGCCACTTGTTCAGCTTTAGCCTGGGTAGCTGCACGGATATCTTCTTCATCTTCCGCTCGACACAACGCCTTCAAGGCACACAGATAAAAAATAAAGCATAGACAACAAATAAGAACTTGGAGGCCAGCAAGATGGCTCAGTGGGTAAATGCAATTGCCCATCAAGCCTGAAAGCCTGAGTCTGATCTTCGAAATCCATAGACAGATCTAGAAAAGTTGACCTCTGACTTCTTCATGCATGTAATGGCAAACATGCATACAATGAACAATAAAAAATTTTTTCAAAGAGAAAAGGGGTATAGGGAGAAGTTAGAGAGATACCCTAGCACTAAAGAGAGATTACTACTCTTGCAGAGGACCTGAGTTTAATTCCCAACACCATCTCAGACAGCTCAACTCCAGCTCAAGGGGTATTCCAACCTCTCTAGCCTCTTCCAATACCTGCACTCATAGATACAACAAACACGTAACTTAAAAAAATAAACAAAACAAAATCCAAAAACATGTCTAAGCACACTGCAGGTACATGTCCGTAATTTCAGCCCTCAGAAGGCAGAAACAGGATTGCTCCAAATTTGAGGTCGGCCTGTTCTATATAGAATGTTTCAGCCAGAGAAAGATGGCAAGAGCCTGTCTCAAACAAAGTAAAATAAACATATCTTTTAATTATATTTTATTTATTTATGACAAGGTTGACAAGGTCTACCATGTGGCCCTGGCTGGCTTGCCACACACTGTGTAGATCAAGTGTCTTTACATTTATAGAGTGCCCCCACCTCTGTCTCCAGAGTGCCTACATTACATTCCTGTAAAAACACTTGAGGCAGCTGGGTGTGGCAGTACATAACTTTGAT